GCATACAGGAAATTATTTGGAGCCCCCCCTCTAGGCCAACGCGTAGAGAGGGTGACAGATACGACAGGATGCGGCCCGGCTGCGGAAGAGCGGCGACGCTGCACCAGCAAGTCGTGTGCTCTTGGGCTACAAGTGACCAGTAATCTGACATGGTGATATGTTGAATTGGAGAGGACGAGAGGAAGAAATAAGGAAATCGGAACCATGGCGATCGCCGGGTTAGCATGCAAGGCTGACCGGACCGAAAAATAGGGTTCTGGTGGACAAGTGCGAGTCGCGTGGTGATATGCTTACTGTAACAAAAGTTGGGCAATCGGTAAATAACTAAGAGTATTCAAATGCAACAACTCAAGACCTGCGGGTTTGAAGACAGGCATACTGTGCGTGCGTGGGGCTGAATCGAGACCGTTGCCATCTGTCGGATGGGATTTCTCATGTTTCTGGGCCTCGGACAGCGAAGGAAGCATGTTGCGTGAGTTGTACACAATAAAAGGGACTGGTCGCAAGGAAGCATTCAAGGTCGAGGTTGTCGTGCAGCAACTAACTAGCGGCTGGGTCAGGAAACAGGATTTGCCCATGCCAACGCCGTCTGTTGCACTAGTCGCATCGTGGCGAGTGGAAGTATAAATAGTTACCTGGGGGCTGCAAAGGTTGGCGGCAAGTAAGCCTTTGAGTGAAAGAAGGGTTGAGGTTGAGACGGAAAGTAACTTGAGGAATAAATAGTTATAGCCTTATAGGCGAGAAGACGCGGGGAAGTGGGCAAAGGCAAGTATATAGGTAGTCGGTTGATGAGGCACCGCGTAATAAATTATAATGGCTTCTAAAGTCCGATGGCGGCAAGAGTTAGCAGCGAACATTGTCGGCGTTAAGGCAGTGCATGCGAGGCGGAAGAGGTTTATAAATTAGAGAGGACGACTTTTCAAGCATCGGTAGGAAATCTGGCCAATGATGCGATCTCAACGATATGAAAAAAGACACTCGATGCCATTTTGCGGACATTGAAAGGTGACATGGTGCCGGCGTTGTTGGAACCGTCACACGAACGTGTAGATGGATAAACGGAGCGGAAACTGATGAGCAGCGTTTGCAGCATCGCTTTGACAGCTGGCTGCACAGCTGGCTGCCTGGCTGGCTGGCAGCTAGCCCACCAGAAAGGCCCTTGATGGAATCCGGCGGAACGGAGTAACCATCCGTTTGCGCTCGATATATCAGTAAAGGTGGCTTCTAGCCTGACCCTTCAGAAACGTCATGAAATAAAAGTATTAAAGTCGAATGAGCAGAGGAAGAGGCAAAAGCTCTAGCCTTGGTCACGTACTATCAACTTATCAAGGTATTTCAACATAAATGGCATGATTAGAGCCGCCGCACGCCCATCCAACTACCCGACGCCTATTTCTCTTCACCTCGATTGACTGCCCTTGCGGAAACATGGAGGGCGCCTGGCGAGAGGGAGGGAGGGGCCTAAAGTTTTTTCGGCGGGCACTGCAGCGGGGTAACTAGCTCTCAGTTGTAACTTGTAACTACCTACCTAATAAGTTGTAAGGGTGTGGCCAAACACCGGTCGCCTGGAATTACACAAGCTGGGGGCAAGCCAAATAATGATTGAGGGGCCCGGAGTAGAGTTGAAGGGGGCCGTACGGAGTAATAAAGGAGAGTTGGTGTGCTGCACAGCGCCTGCCAGTGCATGGATGCGGTGGCTGTCATGTAAATTAATAAGAGCAGATTTGTATCGGAGGCCGGGAAATGTCCAGACAAAGAACGGCAACTATTCACGATTTCAAGTAAAGAAAAGGGGAGAGCAAGAAACCCGGCTCTGGGAGCCGAGACATGCAGACGAGAGTAGAAACTATTCATATCGGCCAGCCGGCAAGGTTCTCGAACCTTTGCGCCATGCATGCCGTGCCGCAGTGATGCGATGCGGGGGATTACCAGCAGCTCTCATGGTACCTACGTAGGTCGTAGCTTGGTACCTACCTGCAGCCTGCAGGCTCCTGCCAGCGTTTACTTAATAAATTATTACCCCAGCGCCGACCTGCCGTCGGCCTCCAGACCCGGAGAGTCATTGGAGGACTAATCGCCTACTTACCAGGTAGCTATTAACGAGGCAGCTACATATCGTTGAAGAAAACCTGCATAGAAACTTGCAAAGACAGAAAAAAGAAAAGGAAAAGGGTAAAAAGCTAAAAAGGTAAAAAGAAAGCTAGCTGCACATGTTTGCCCTACGCAATTGACTACACCACCACCACATGGTCCGTCTGATGACAGTGCCACCCTTTCGGATACCATCGCTTGTATGGGTAGTGGGACTGGATAATTGTCAGCAAATCGCTACTCAAATAACTGTACAATGCTTGCTTGGGATATCTGCATGCATTGGCATGATTGGTTGCCCCTCCTTCCAGCGCGCTATTCCTCCGCTCCCCGCCATGATCCATCCACACCATCTAAATCCTGCTAACGTTAAGTTAAGTAGACCCGGCTTCGAGCTCTTTCCCCCGCTGCCGTCCCTGGTTGTCCAAGCTACTCGGGCGCCAGCAAATGTCCACCCTCACCCCGCTTTATCGTCATCTTCTCTTCATCTAGGCACACTTTGCAGACACGTATTTAACCTGCTCCTCACCCAATACTTCCCACCTTGTTCGCTCTTCCCTCATCCTCTTATGCTGGTCTGAGAAAGGAAACACTAGTCCATCTCTCGTCTTCTCTTATACCCAGACACCCCTTTGCCGTACTGTCCCAGACACAAACAGTCCGTCAATATGACTCTGACAGTGCAGCTATCTACGCCCGCTACCGGCAAATATGACCAGCCAATTGGCCTGTAAGTTGTTGTTGCGTCTTGTCTACTCCGCACCCCCGACCGGCACTGCGCCGCTTCCACTACCCCGCCCCCGCGATTCCTTGACTAACAACACAATCTCCCCCTACAGGTTTATCAACAACGAATGGGTTGAGGGTGTCGACAAGAAAAAGTTTGAAGTCATCAACCCCTCTACCGAGGAGGTCATCACCTCTGTCTGCGAAGCTACCGAGAAGGATGTCGACCTCGCCGTCGCCGCCGCCCGTAAGGCCTTCGAAACTACTTGGAAGGAGACGACCCCGGCGGATCGCGGCGTGTTGATGAACAAACTCGCCGACATTGCCGAGAAGAACACCGACCTCCTCGCCGCTGTCGAGTCCCTTGACAATGGCAAGTCCATCACCATGGCCAAGGGCGATGTTGGCGCAGTCGTCGCCTGCATCCGCTACTATGCCGGCTGGTCCGACAAGATCCACGGCAAGACTGTCGACGTCGCCCCCGACATGCACCACTACGTCACGAAGGAGCCTGTACGTACAATGATGAGCCTCAATACAAATACCAGCCGAAATGCTAACTACGAATATAGATTGGTGTCTGCGGCCAGATCATTCCCTGGAACTTCCCTCTTCTCATGCTTTCTTGGAAGATTGGCCCTGCCCTGGCCACCGGCAACACTATTGTCATGAAGACTGCTGAGCAGACTCCCCTCTCTGCCCTCGTCTTTGCTCAATTCGTCAAGGAAGCTGGCTTCCCCCCCGGTGTTTTCAACCTGATCTCTGGCTTCGGCAAGACCGCCGGCGCCGCCCTTTCCGCTCACATGGACGTAGACAAGATCGCCTTCACCGGTTCCACCCTTGTCGGCCGCACCGTCCTCAAGGCCGCAGCGTCCTCCAACCTCAAAAAGGTCACTCTTGAGCTCGGTGGCAAGTCCCCCAACATCGTTTTCAATGATGCCGATATCGAGTCTGCCATCTCCTGGGTCAACTTCGGCATCTACTTCAACCACGGTCAGTGCTGCTGTGCTGGTACTCGTATCTTTGTCCAGGAGGGCATTTACGACAAGTTCCTCGAAGCTTTCAAAAAGCGAGCTGCCGCCAACACCGTCGGCGACCCCTTCGACACCAAAACGTTCCAGGGTCCTCAGGTAAGCAAGCTCCAGTACGACCGCATCATGAGCTACATCAAGTCCGGCAAGGACGAGGGTGCCACTGTCGAGATCGGTGGTGAGCGTCACGGCGACAAGGGTTTCTTTATCAAGCCCACCATCTTCTCCAATGTCCGCTCCGACATGAAGATTATGCAGGAGGAGATCTTCGGCCCCGTCTGCTCCATCTCCAAGTTCTCCACCGAGGAGGAGGTCATCAAGCTTGGCAACGAGACCACCTACGGTCTTGCCGCTGCCGTTCACACCAAGGATCTCAACACCAGCATTCGTGTCAGCAACGCCCTCAAAGCTGGTACCGTCTGGGTCAACTGCTACAACCTTTTGCACGCCTCGGTTCCCTTTGGAGGATTCAAGGAGTCTGGAATCGGCCGTGAATTGGGTGAAGCGGCCCTCGATAACTATCTACAGACAAAGTCAGTCACTGTCCGTCTGGGCGGCCCAATGTTCGGATAGAAACAAATTTGTACCTTTAAAAAGCCCAGACAAGCTCTTGGGACATCAACACAAAAATTTGAATCTCGCTAGCCTAATGAATTGACAAGATATCTACGACGTATTACGATAGGCTGAATTTTGGGAAATTTAATGGGGAGCTCGCATCTTGGAGCGCAGAGAGCGCTGAACAACGGACACGCGAGCTAGTAGAGGTGCCACATATCGATAGAGAAGCAGTGGAATTATTTGACTCCATATCGATTTTGGGCATTCATATTTTGCGCGCAGACTTTCCAACAACACTGCGACGTCCAAGTCAAGATAGTAAGCTCAGCAGGCATGTAGGTAAGCGTCAGTTCACACTTCATCAGGGATGCCAGCGCGGCTTCAGATCCTGTGAGCTAAATATCTGCCATATATCTCTGCTTCCATGCCCTCAATCTCTTCGACTCCCTATTCCTATGACTTATGCTGCCAAAATGGGAGGTTCACAGTTGAGAGGTCAAGGACTCGAGGTCAGCAAATGGCGCGCCCCACTTTGGCGTCGGGTTGAGCTAATAACCTAACTTAGCGAGCGGAGGCGGTATGAAACAGCCAGCCTCATTAGTCTAGGGGTTACGACGTTGGATTTTGACCACAACCAATCATTCCAAAAGCATCAGTTCGAATCTGATATGAGGCTTCGACATTAACTTTTTTGCCCCGACCACAACACATACATACGTTGCCTAGATCGCATGCTAAGCCTCGCAGGCGTTTCGTCCTTTTTTTCTTCTTCTTAGTTTTCAATCGATCCACTTCTAATCTGTATCCTGGCCTGGCGGATCAGAGGCCCGGAGGTTTAACAGACTCATATCAGCTTGCCACGTCGGTTGGGAATAGCGTGCTCGCTTTGCTTAGATTTATTACAACCCCGGACCCGCCTCCCCGGTCGCTCGTTATTGAGTTTATTCCGTCGATTGCTATGAATGGATACCAGGAGCGACTCCGTAATTACTGTTTATTGTGAACGTTCGGGCCAGACACCGAGCAGCGCGTCGCGCGAGAATGGCGTTTTTTGCTGGTGCGTGCACGATCTCGCATGACTAGCGGGCGATGGCAAGCAATAGCCAGCTTCAGGCCTCCTTTGATATGCGCAAGGATCGTGCAAATTGCTGGGACGAGCGCAGTAGTGGCGCATCGCAATATTCGTTATACATACAGTACAACAGGAGCCGCGCTGGCTGCGAATCCTCATTTTGCGCGGAGGCAAATCGCATCGCATTGACTGCCAGGCCCCCCTGCTTTTGCAATCTAACTCTCGTTACGGAGTACAGGGGACATGGATGATGTGTGCCAACAGCTTCCAGGTACTGTGTGATTGAGGATGGAGGGGGATAGAGTAATGCTGCCTGGGGATTGATGAAGTGGTTGCAGAAAACGGCGGAAATCGAGAACAAATGAATGGGATGGTATTGATGGAGAATGTCTCTGATGCAAGACAGAAAAGAAAGAAACCATTGACGGGCGCTTCTACTCCGTAAATAGTTAGGACAATGTTGTTGTGCTTGGTGCTGGTCATTGCTGCCCCGGCAACAGGGATTCAGGCTACCCTGGTTTTACACTATTATTAGAGGTTGCTGGCAACTGGCGGGCGACCAGGTAACTTTAGGGGATGGGGGGGGGGGGGGCCTAAGTTAAGCATCATGATTATCCAGCGTCGTCTGGCACAAGCCAAATCGCTTGAATTCCTGTGCTTCAGCATGAGGTCCCACTATCTTGTTGAAAGCACTAATCAAGAAGAATCTCCAGAATGGCCCGTGATTCTTTAGCCAGCTTATTTGGCGCATTGACGGAGGTGAACCTGTTGGCCGTCTGTGACCTTGCACATCTCGACCAGCTTTCAGTGGGTACGTTGACTACCTACCTGTACGTTGTACCTAGGTAGGCACCTAGGTACCTAGGTTAGTAGGTACCTACGCGGGAGAGGGGTGTTTTCTGACATGCCCTCTGACAGATTTTTGTTGATAAAATATTATTTAGGCATGTTGCAAGGAAATCGCACTTTTCTAGCATATAAAAAACTTTCTGACATCCTATCCGAGAAGCCCGAATCCATGGCAACATGCCTAAAAAATATGCCAGATAGTAAAATATGTCAGAGGGCATGTCAGAAAACACCCCCCTCCCGCGTAGGTAGGTACGGATTAGTACCCGTAGCTACCTACAAGCGGCCAAGCCCCCACAGGAGCTCCCAAGCTCCTCCGTCAAGCGCTGTATTAATTTTTCCTGTTCCCAAACTGTCCAAGTAAATATTACCCGAGCTAAAGTTCTCCTCGATCCTCGATCGAGCACGACACCATCTCGCACAAACACAACAAAACTTTATCGTGTCACTAGACCTCTGGGCGGTCGGCTGCTTCCTAATCGTCTGACACTCTTTTTCCTCTCCTAGCAACCGTCCTCTAATTATAGAGATCCTGTCGTTTCCCCCTTCGCTTCCTCCATCCTCACTCCTTCTGTATGTACCTCTCTCGCTTCATCTTCCCAGGAGGACGCGAACTCATCGGACACTGACAGCAGTCTCAGCTCTTCAATTGTTACATATACGCTCGACGCCGCTTATATACAGATCTTGGCTAGCTTGCGGTCCTCTGTCTGCCGATTATACTGCCCATCAGACCCTCGTTTGCCGCCCGGGATACCAACATTGCCCACCTCGATCGCCCACACTAACAGAACTCGGCCATTGCATATACACCCGTCCCCTCAAGTCAATGGCTACGAAATGGTTGCTGTTACGCCATCCAACAGCCGGTTGAAGCTCACTCCCTCCAATTCGCCATATCTTGGACGTCCTTCAAGATCCCCAATGCGCGGTCGACAGCAGGAATCCTGGCTCTCCTTGCGGAGAGTCGTCGGCACTACCTGCCGTTCGCAGACCGGTTTCGACACCGTGAATTCTTCCATTGCTTATGTTGCTGGGGGAGCTGTCGTGGTCGTCAATGTCGAAAACGGAACCTACAGCCAGCATTTTTACCGAGCTCGACCTGCTGCTGTCCCTGTCCATAATGCCCTGAACATTCTGCAGAATACCTCGAGCACGCCCACCACCACTACTCCCAAGGCCAATGACAGCCGCGGCAGAGTCGCTCCATCAAATAGAGACTCCATCTACGGCTCGCTCGATTGGACCGATTCTCCCACCTCCAAAACTTGGACCAGCAGAGAAAGGATCAAGGCAGCCACTTGTGTTGCCCTCAGCCGAGATGGCAAATTTCTTGCTGTAGGCGAAACGGGCTATGCTCCTCGCGTTCTAATCTTTAACCTCCAAGAAGCATCATCTGATACACCGCTCGTCTCCATCAGCGAGCACACCTTTGGTGTAAACGCCGTGGCTTGGTCGGCTGACTCACGATATCTCGCCTCTCTGGGTGCCGCCAATGATGGCTTCCTCTACATCTGGAAGGTTGACCCTCGTACTGGACAAACAAGGCTGTTTCAGCAGAACCGATGCACTTCGTACATCCGACACATGACGTGGATGGGAAGCAACCTGATTACGCTTGGTGTGCGACACGTCAAGATTTGGAGGATCGAGGACGGGTCTTCTTCTCCGACAAAGAGTCGGCACTTTAACGACTCTGCTCCTTCCACACCGACGTCTTCCCAGAAAACGCTCCCTGGCCGTAATGTCTTGTTGGGTGGCCTCCTCGATGCCACCTTTACCTGCGCTGCCGTGGACGGAAATCGACTGCTTGTATGCACCGAAGCTGGCGATGTATGCATCATGGACGATGACGATAGACAAATGAAGCTTGTCAAGGCGGTTACGTTGAACTTTGCGATTACGACCATTGCCATACGTGGAGATGTTGCCTACGTTGGATGTAAAGACGGTTCGTTCGCGACTCTGGATGTATCAGCTGTCATGGACGGCGGAAGGGACGATTGCGTCTTGACTACGGCGACGGTGCCTACTGGAGTGCTCGCTCTGGGCTTTTTAAACGATAATCTCGTCACCATTGACTCAAAACAGTCCATCGATATTTGGTCCCGCGATCATCTACCAGGTCAAAAGCAGGACGCAATCGCTCACATTCCCATCCCTGGCCATGGCGAATCCATTAACGGAGTGCATCCACTTCGCCGCCCGAATAAGCCCGATGCTTCATTCATCACGTGGTCTGGTTCGGGAAATGTGACATTTTGGGATACAGAGGGCCGACAGAAGATGTCGGTAGACGTTCCTATCGATGCGGTTGAGATTGACTCGGAAATGGGCGTCAGCAACCAAGCCACTTGCGTTGAAACATTGCGCAACGGCAAGCAACTTATCATCGGAGACCGCCTTGGTATCTTAAGAATCTTTGATGTCGATACCAAGGAATTGCTGCTCGACACCAAAGCCCACTCTATGCACTGTGTTGGTATCAGCGTCTGCGAGACCCCTGATAAACTCATCATTGCGAGCTGCGGCCGTGACAGAACGGTACAGCTCTTTCACCAGCTGTCCAATGGGCAGACTGAACATTTCCAGACACTCGAGTTCAGTGCACGGGTTGTTCAAGTTCTAGTGCCGTCGGATGACAAAGTCATTACTTGTTCTCTGGACCGCTCTTTACAGATTCATGACCTGGTTACTCGTGATGGCGAGCCCGACGTGATTGCAGCGATTCCATCCAAGGTCATCTCTCTCAAAGCATCACCCACGAGCCTGCTTATGGGGCCTGACCGCCGCAGCATCTACATATCGCTGTTAGATCGATCCGTATTCCAGTTCGATCTCTTCACTGGACGGCAAGTCTCTTGTTTCAAGTGTACAGATGAAGGCGGCGTCGAGTCTGCTGTGTTAGATGGCTTAACCCTTGGTAACTGGCCAGCTCGCGATCTCGACTTCATTCTGGGCACTTCCAACACCGATAAATCGATCAGGTTGTATGATGCTCGATCAGGTTTGTTTCTCGACCGAGAATGGGGACACACCGAGGCCATCAACGGAGTGTGCATCGTGGAGGATGATGACGGTTCAAAGAAGGTGGTCAGTGCCGCATCAGACGGCACTATTATGATTTGGCTGTTGGATTTTACTGAGTTTTCACCACGATCTATGAGCCGTGAAGTGTCACCCGCAAAAGAAATCAGCGTCACTGGCAGACCCACGTTGCGAAAGGTCCTCTCTCGAGCCGAGCTTGCCGAGTTCCAGCGCTCGACTCCCAACAGTAACAGACAAAAATCACCGCCCCGCACTTTACCGCGACGAAGTTCGCGTCTCAACCTAAAAACCCCTACTGGTACACTGAATGGACAAGGAAACAGTACAATCATTGAAAGCACGCCGTCAAGGCGCAGACCTTCTGAGAGCCAGGGGGCTAGTCCGCCGCCTAGCCCTAAGGGACGCGTCAGTCGCCGACCGTCTTTGCCAGCGATGGGCGCTGTGGCACGCAAGAAAACCTCGGCAACAAACTTGCGAGCGCAAAACACGTTGAATACAGCCACAGAGCAAGCATGCCGTACATTGCGAGCATACCGGCGCAAGCTCTCGTCTGCCGAGCCAATCACTGCCGAATGTTTGACAGAGCTGGATCAAGAACTTCGCCTGACAGCTGCCGCCTTGGGAGACCGCGCCATTCGTAGCAAGGCGATGAATGAAACTGTTCTCAGTGGGCTACTGGACCAATATTCTGAGCGACTCGTCACATT